CCTGTGAATTTGGAGTCTGAATGGACATACTGAGGCTGAGGGGAGAGCTGTGCAGAGTTAGGAACCATACTTGGAGGAGCCAATTTGGAGGGGAGAATGAGGAGTTCACTGTGAACAAGTGGAATATGAGGGGCCTGAGAACCATTTGAGTGGCTATGTCTGTTACAGGGCTTGATGTGTAGATCCGAAACTCACAAGAGAAATCTGGGATGGAAATACAGATTTAGGAATCATTTGGACAGTGATTAAAGCCATAAACTATCATGACACTAGAGATGGCTCTAGAAAAAAAGCGGACATGGGACCATGCCTTAGTGAATTTCAGCATTCATTGTTGGGTTGAGGCAGAACAACCCACAGAGGAGACTCAAATTAAGCAAACAAACTCACAGGAGCAGTAGGAGAAAGTCCAGAAACACAGTCACAGAAACCATAGGAGACAAAGAAAAGAGAAAAATGTTACGTCAAAAGCTCTAGACCAGTAGAATTGACTTTATGGAATTCTTTGATGGCTTTTTTTTTTTTTTCTCTTTGAAACAGAGTCACACTTGTAATCCAGGCTGGCCTTGAACTAGCTATGTAGATCAGGCTGGCCTTGAACATGCCGTCCTCCTGCCTCAGCCTCTTTAATTCTGGGATTACATCTTTGATGACCTTGGTAAGAGAAGTCTCTGTTGAGTCATGGGAGTAGAAATCATATGAGGGTGAGAGCTGTGGGATGAATAGATGAAGCCATGTAGACAGGATGTGCAAATGTGTGTGTGCATGCGTGTGTGTGTGTGTGTGTGTGTGTGTGTGTGTGTAATGCTGGGAGTTGTATCCATGGTCTCATGTAAGCTAGATGTGATAGATGTGGTGTCAACTTGAATAAGAAATGCCTAGTGGTTTGTTTAACACAGTCCGAATGTGGATGATGAACTTACTGCAGAGGGAATCCCCACCCTGGATGTGGGTGGCACCAACCAACAGGCTTGCAGCCCGGATGGAATCAAAAGGGAAAGATAAGGAAGCCTCACTTCCACTTCTTCAGAGGGCCCCCAGTCTTCACTGTCACCTTTGGACGTCCGTCTCCAGGCTCTGGTGCACTCTTTAGCCTCACAACGCAGACCCGTTAGCTTCTTTCACTCTTTGATTGGATCCTCCAGCTCCCCAGCACAGAGCTGGCCCTTTTCATTCTCCCACACTTGACTCTGCGGCCACTGGGAACCCACCTTGTAAATCCCCTCATCCATAGATCAGATCTATGTCATATATGTATGATGTTGATATAGGACTTCCAAATGATATAGGGGAAATATTATAACTCCTAACCTGTTATGCCCAGTTCCTGTTCCCCAAAATCAAAGCATGAATTCTAAGGAATCACAGAGATTAAGAGTAGGAAATTTTATTGAGAGACAGCCTGAGTGGGTTACCCATGAGCCTACCGGTCAAAAGAAGTTTTATAGAGCAAAATCACACGGTGGGTACAATGTGAGACAAAACTACGATCAATTGATAAGATTACAAGTGTAGCCACTTAGGTAATTTTGATCCAATGGGGAAGCAGGTCACGTAGCAAGTGTACATAGAAAGAACAAGGACCTTTTTTGGAAGGGATGAGTCACGAGATCCTGGTCACCCACCTGGGTGACTGATGTCTATCTAGACTTTATTGGATCAAGTGATACCAGTTATAGTATATTGCTTATCCTTCAGGGAGGCATGTAGGCCTGGTCATTCCATCTTTGTCTTGAGGCCTGGCCTTCAGTGAATGTGCCTCCAGCCACAGCTGTAATGTCTTCTCCACCCACTCCCTCAAGGGCGCAGCCCCGTCTGCCTGCAATATTTCTCCCTAACTTAGCTGCCTTTAATAATACAATATTAAATTTGTTCCTCTAGTGAACCCTAACTGATACACGAGGCAAGTGCTCTACCACTGGGCTACATTCCTAGCCCATGGCTGTGTTCACAGGAACAGGAAGTCAGGAGGACATTTCAGGCAGAGAAACAGCATCAACAAAGACACAGGGACACAAAACCCATGACATATTTAGGGGACCTTAAGCAGGTCTGAGTGGCTGGAGACTCAAGCATGGAAGAAAGAAGAATGGTTGAAGACAATGCTGAAAAGAAGACACAAATGTCCACAGCTGTGAATGGAAAAGCCAAGGGAAAGAAAAACTATTTCTTGAGTACTTTCTATGGCCTGGAAGTTTTCACATATATTATTTCACTTAATTTTCATGTAAGCCCTGTAAGTTAGGTAAGTATTGATTGATTGATTGATTGATTGATTGATTGTACTAAAGATTGAACCCAAGGCCTTCCCACTGCATCGCTAGCTCTTTTTAAAATGTAGAGGTGGGGTCTCATTTAACTGTTAAATTGCTCTGGCTGGGCTGAAACTGGCAATCCTTCTGCCTCAGCCTCCCAGAGTGCGGGGATTACAGGCATGTACCACCATGCCCAGCAAGGTAAGCATCCTTATCCTCACTTATCCCACTGAAAACTGCTATTCAGAAAAGTGCAATAATTTACTCTTATCTGGCAAGCAATGGCATTTCAACTTCCCTCCGGTACAGGAGGATCTGGCCCAGTGCTCTGGAAGGTGGTAAAATCAGCTAGAGAGAACGGTGTGAGCATCCATTGTGCCCATCACTCTAGTGACAGAAGAGTTAGCCAAACAGGAAAAGGGTGTTCAAAACCAAAGCCAAGTGCAATAAGAAAATAATTCCACAGCCAACTGGCCTAGCCAGAAGTCAGATTGTCAGAACCAAGGGAGGTTCATCTACAAAGCCAAATCCTCACCATGTCATTGGCCCAAAATGTCTCAAGCAGTGAAGCTTGATCAGGAGGCAAGGGAGGACTGCCAGGAAACTTCAGAAGTGGGGAAGCGACCAGCTGAGGCTTAAGCCCTAGTCCTCCCCCATTCAAGTCCTGGGGGTTTGGGGATGGGCAAGAAGTTAGGAGATAAGCTTTCTGTGTTGAAAAACTAAACAGTTCGGCCCCCTAGAGGACAGTATGATTGGAACTGTTGTGGGGAAGGACGACTCTGGCACCTCTGTGAAAACGGGCCTGTAGGTTTCAGATGGTGGCGCCTCCTCCACCTGGGTCTCCTGAGCAGGACATCAAGGACAGCGCCCCCTGAAGAGCAGACCGGGATAGGACTGTGGCTTGGTCCTCGGACCTGTGTGACTACTCTAGCTACACCGAGAGCAGAACCCCAAAGAACACCACCCACAGATTGGCCCATCTGGAGAGCCAGGGAAGATGTGCCTTCAAACAACTGAAGCCAGGCTGTGTGTCCGTATCGAGGGCTTCTCCTCGCCACAATGCTTCAAGATTCATTTGTCCCTCCCAACCACTCCATGATATAGATAGTATTTCTCACCCCCTCTCCAATTTTTTTAAGCATAGGAGGAAACAGGCTGGAGCAAATTCCGTGGCTACTCAAAGTCGCACTGTGGGTTGGAGACAAGATTTGGATTTATACAATTCTGTGCCTTTTTCCTCTATGTGGGGGAAAATACTGGTCGGGGGAGGTATGTAAACAAGGAAGCTCTGACGCTGCCCAAGTGGCGGGCAGCAAGTGCAGAAGAGCGACAGAATTCCTGGGCAAAGCAACAAAGATGCAATACAGCAGGGCCAGTTAAGGAAAGGAAACATGGGGGGGAGGCTGTGTGCTCTGAGGACCAGAAGAATCCAGATGCCTGGAGATCCTGGAACTGTGTCCGTCCGGGGAGATGGGCAGAAGTGAGGCTGGGAGGTCAGAGGTCAGAAAAATGACAGGGTCGAAGGGGATACGTCAGGCTGTGGAGCGGAAGCAGGGAGCCAGGCGCAAGTGCGGGTGTGGGGTGAGCCAGCCTCAGAAACAGCAGGAAGGGCTCAAGGAAATCAAGACAGTAGAGGAGGACAGCCCAGAAACATCGAGGAGTCAGGCTTGAGGCGGCCTGGCGACACCCTGAGGGGAGCCTGGCGACTTGTACCCACGGAGCGGGGGGAGACCCAGGAGGGAGGCTGCGGAGCGGGAAGCGCGGGGGGCGCGACCTCAGCAGTCCCTCGAGGGTCGCAGGCGGGGGAGGGCGGGGCTCCGGCGCGGAGGGCTGGAGAAGGCGTTCGCAACCTGCCGGCCCGGGTAACAAAGGCAGGACTACATCTCCCAGCATGCTCGGGCTCGGTGGGGTGACGGCGGGCGGCGGCGGCGCTGCAGCCGACTGGTGGGCGCGGG